CACACCAGATCTTTCCCAAAATTAGGGGTACCTTTTTAGGGGTCCCAATAAAAATGATTATAGTATTTTGGGGTCTATATTGGGGTCCCCTTATCTAGCAAAATATGTACGGCTCTACATTGCACGATGTCATAGTTGCCCCGGAGCCGAAGCCCTTGCTCTCGTCCATATGGTGACGTACTGCTCGAATAGTGTTTAGACCTCAAACCTTTAAACTCTCACCGTGACTTCTGTACCCTAGTCTAATTTGTTAGGCCCATGTAGGCCCTACATGAAAACCATGCCCATTGTGGGTATGTATGCTTTTAGAAACATTGAGAAGTTTGAGGCTCAGTCGAGCGTGCAGCAGCCGTGGGAAGTGTGCAACTTGCCGTGATTACCTTGAGCCTTTCTGGGCCATGGAACCCCTAAACCCTGAACCCTAAACCTTGAACCATAGCCCGGGCACGCTTGAAACCTGGCCCGCTCCTATGTTATATAGGGGTTTCCCAAAATGTGGGGTACAATTTTGGGGGTCCCCATAATAAGGAATATAGTATATTTAGGGTTTAGGGTATTTGGGTCTATATTGGGGTCCCCATATTTTGGGAAACTACCATATTGGGATGCAAATCAGGGCTGACATTAACGTTTTAGAGGTAGTTGTGCTTTTGAAGCCCCGTAGTGATGAGTTCTTTTCAAAGCCTTGTATGTACTGCACAGGGCTTTAGGTCTTGAGGATAGGGTTGAAGGTGCGGCTGCTCAAGATTGGGTTACAGGGTGGAGGCGGCAGAAGGGGAGAATGAGGGATGCATGCTCTGGGGTCGTTTACCCAGACCCCCTAAAGGATCTAAAAATGGAAACCCCCAATGTGAACCCATTACTACATTGGGGAAACTAGGGGATTATTAGGTGGCTCCATTTTTTGGATCCTAAACCCTAAACCCTAATCCCTAAAACCTATATACCCCTATATAACCCCTGTAAACTCCTTTGAAGGGTACCATTGTTTGGATCCTTTAGGAGGTCTGGGTAGGGAGCGATGAACATGCTTCAGGTCTGTAAGGTGAACCTGTTTCAATTAGAAATGATACGTAAACTTACATGAGCTATAAAGGGGATTATATATGGGACTGTTATAGGGGTTATTACTATTTAGGGTTTAGGGTTTAGGGATTAGGGTTTCCCAAAATTAGGGGTACCATTTTGGGGGTCCCATTAAATAAGGACTATAGTATTTTTTTCTATATTGGGGCTCCCCTATTTTGAGAAACTACCACATAGCCAATGGAAGAACTTTATCCTTTTTGGGCTTCCTGTTAGGTCTTCAGAAAAAAGTTTAAACTTTTTCAACCCTTGTTATTGGGGGAGAGACTAAACTTCACAGGTGGCCGAATACTGCATGCAGAGGGCAGCTGCAAAGAGACGTTTCCTCTTGTGCGGCTGCCATAGCCTGTTATACCGTCCGTCCAGCACTTGAAGTCAGGTGTATAATTCATGTCGCTTTAGCAACAACTCACGTCAACTTCCTCAAACAGGATTGCATGAGCACACGCCGAATGGAAAGAGCCTAGAGTTTTGCCCTGAGAGCACCGAGTGCGCTCTACTTAGGCAGGATACTCGTCTTAAACTTCATATTAAAAAGAGAGGAATGTCCATGTTCCACGCCCGAAGGACAGGATCTTTGCGGCCCATCCTCGTGAGAACCTTAAACCCTAAACCCTAAGCCCTAAACCCTAAACCCTCAATCTCAATCTACGAGACATAAGTAGAAAGCTAATCATGCGGAAGCCCATACTCCCAAGAACCGGCACGTTCTATCTGCTTCAGGAGGAAATCAATACTAAAGGGATTATGGTAACCCCAACCTCCAAAATTAGGACCCTAGAACCATTACATGACAGGTCCTAATTTTTGGGGTTGGGGTTCCCCAAATCTTACAATCAAACCGTACCGTCCCGGCGAACAAACCCTGCGCCCCAAACTCAACCAGATCTCAGAAACTGCCCCACGCCCTGAGGTGTGGGGTTTAGGGCTTAGGGGCCCCACCCCGATTAAATACTCCCAAATTTTGTGGTATTTTCACTCTATTGGGAGTATCATCGGAGTATCTAATATTAGGGGGCGTGGGGGGGTTTACTAATAGGGGGACGGGATTACCACTACCATTGCCCGAGTCCCAAGAGTCTCTGGTATTTACCTATTATTTGGTACTTGGACCTTTGGCACCATTTCCCCAGCGACCCGAAACCCATTCCAAACCTCCAGCAAATTACGACATCACGCCACGTGCTTCTATAGAAAAGTCTTTGCTTCAGCGTTTGGAGTGATGTGTAGCCCCACACCTTGAGCCCTCAGCACAACGATGCAACCCAGGATCGAGCTCTCTGTGGATGCTGCATGTGAGGACTTCCCGCCCTAATCAGACTGGCATTTACTTGGGGCTGTGTGGTTTTCTAGGTTCCATACCACTTGTGCGAGCAACTGCATCTTTCATTCGGGCTCAGCCCAACTGACATGAGGAACTGTCAGTAGGGGGCTTTCCGGGGACATTAACTAAGTTGATGTTGAGATTCTTTTGGTGGGCAAATCTATTCCCCAATACGAACCCATGTCCAGTTGTTACCTGGGAAATATTGCTCGACATAATTACGCCCCTACAGAATCCCAAATTCCGTTCTTTTCCAGGTATTTTCCCTAAACTTTAAACCTTATTCTATGGGAAATATAGACCCTAGACCCTAAACCCTGTAGCTCATACTATGACCCTCGTTGCCCGGAGCGCCTCATACCCCTGCTGCTGTCACGGTGCCAGTGTAGGATTATGAATCGACATCTAGGAGGCCTTCCTGCTTACTGTCCCTAAGGGTCCAAGGACCCAAATAATAGGGTTTCAGGTCCCAAATACCATAATATTAACGGTATTTGGGCCCTAAAGCCCTATTATTTGGGGGTCCTTGGACCCTTAGGGTGCTTACTGTGTTACTACCGTGTATACATAAAATCCTGCATGACGCTAAGTACCTTATCTCTGGCAAATTATTTAATTATAGTTTACTATGGTTGTGCAAGGTTTTTGGCACCATCAGTATGTCCATTGGTATTATTGATACAATTGCTTTGTTTGTGTGCTACTACTATCGCCATTCCTACATTTTGGTTGCGATTATTAATGATATTGTTGTTGTTTCGGCTTTTTTAAGCATATATTACTAGTTTGCATACGATCTCTCACAGTCCAGTGAAATTCTTTCCGTTGCCCATGTATAGGTAGTTTGTTTTGACATGTGTTTGTTGCAAATGTGCGAGATGTTGTGTTGGTGGAAACCTAGCAACAACACAACTTGAGGAAGTGCTGTTATTTCGAGAGGGTCCCATAGTCCCCCTCAAGTAGATGTAATATGGCTTTGGGTATATCATGATAAGATCCCCATATACTATCCACTCCAGGGGGACTATAGATGGTGCAGGGTACGCTCCGTGCATCCTTCAACCCTGAATCCTTCACAGGAGATCATTTCCTTAACTGAAGAGTATAACCTTCATGAAGAATTCAGGACCCCTTCTATGATTTAGTGTTCATTCCTCGATGACACCAAAAAGGCACCCTAGGAAATCAACAGAAGTCTGAGGCTTCAAACAACGCTTCACTGAGTCGAGGTCTTTGGTGCGGGCTCTTCGGTTTGAAGGCGTAGAGGTTTGGGGTCTACACACTTCGTAGCTGAGTAGTTCAACTAGAACGTTTTGAAAGCTGAGAAGGACCCTGCTGCAATTAAACTGTAGACCTAGAGCTCAGCAGCTACGTACGCGATGTGTAGAGTTGAGGGGTTCCAGGGCCATTCTTTTCTACTGATACAGAAAGTCCGGCATGACCTTAGTATACTACAAAACCCCATAATTCCCAAGGTATCCCCTAGCATCCCTCTCAGTAACCCCCCAATAGTCCCCTTCCTCCAAGGATTCTAGGGTTTAGGGTTTAGGGTTTAGGGTATAGCTCATATGATCCTGTGGCTGATACAGCGGTTGTGGTACCCCAGGTATGTAGATGGACCTGGACATCTGAAAAGACATAAGAAGCCCCCCACCTCTTGCTCACTGAATGGTACAGAAGCTCTGAAACCCTAAACTTTTTGGTTCTTAGTAGGGAATATGGGAATGTAATCCCTATATGATATACCCTAAACCCTAAACCCTAAATCCTAAACCTGCGAGGGATCATTAAGTAGTCAACCTTGAACCTTAAGTCGTCTTTCTGAAGCATACGTAGACAGATAGCCATTAATACTGTTGGGTCTGTTGTCAAAACCGACTATTCTTCTTCAGGGTTAGGGTTTCAGGGTCTGAGGTTCCGAGTACAGAGTTGACATGAAACAACACGTCCTGGACCCGCGAACCTGCGCTACAAATACCATTCCCGACCCATACTCTAGACCCTGCAGCCCTCGACCCTTAATCCCTACCCCAAACCCTAAACCCTATCATCCTTAAACCCCTAATCTCTAAACCCCGAACCCTGAATCCCTAAACCCTAGGCCCTATTTCGTAAACCCCTAATCCTAAACAAAAGGTTAGGCCTCCTCATCAGTTCAGGCTCCGAGTTCTATCCTGTTCCCGGAGCCTCTACGTTAGAATTCCTTGTTCCCAAGCCACAAGTATTCAAGTGTTGAGTACTTAGGTTCTAGGGTTTATCGAGTACTGAGACCCTCTGGGTTATGCCTCAACCTTTCCACTACGCAGCAGAGTTTTGTGCAGTGCAGTTAAGACATTATAATGGGTATATATTGTTATTAAGATGGATGCTCCAATATTATAGTAACTCAAACTACGTTCCTGAAATGCCTATACTCCCCCCAGTTTCCATGTGATTTTCCATGTTCTTTTCCATTGGATTCTCCGTTACAGCAGGAGAATATAGTACCCTAAACCCTAAACCCAGGCGTATCGGCTGTCAGGTTGCACGTGCAAGCCCCAGTTTTCTTTAGCATCCTTCGCAGCCATAGACCACACCGCATCCTGAAGGGATGGCGGAACAGTCGAGCAGTTGGGTGAACCCGGCAGTGGCTACGTTTCAGACACAGCGTACGATGACGCAGGCACCAGCTGTCCGCGCCGTGCAGGAGGTGTACTGGCAAGACAAGGCTCAGAACAAAAGAGCCCCGCCGACGCCGGTCGCGAGCGCTGCGCAGACGCCGCAGGAGGACGCACAACCGGCCTTGGATCGTCCGACTTTGGTACAGCCATGGTCGCTGGAAGACCACACCGCATCCCAGATCGTGGCATCGGAGTATGGAGTTGACATCAATCAGTCAGGTTCTGTGGAGCAGTGGCTTGCAACGCCAGTTCAGACCAACAAAGACGTGATGTCTCTGGTCAGGACTTATCATGCTAAAGTGATACGTCCTGAGATGTATCACCTGGTGCTACAGCTCGAAACAGCGTTTGCAAGCTGAGTGACGATCTGTTCAGCACAAGGCAGGAACTGGCATGGATGGCAGCGGACAACAGACAGAGCCAGAAGCATTGTGCCCTACAGATTATCACTAGTGGATGGCCGCAAGGAATGGGTCCACAAGCCAGGGAGTACATGCTCACATGGATGCTCCAGCAGGTGCCAGCTATCAAGACGTTCCTGGAAGGCCGTGGGCATTTGGACACGCTCACAGAGGACCAAGCCGCACGCTGGATGAATGTTTTGTCAGTGGATCCCGTGACCATACCGCAAGGACAAGACTTCTGGTCCGGGATGACCCTTCTCACTTTCAAGAGCTTCTCTCTGAGGTCTTCTTTCCTTGAGAAGTTTGGTGGTCAAGGAGGGACGCCGGTCTACTCCAATCCGACCACACCTATCCAAGGCAGACACGTCCGTGTCAGCCCTTGCAGCCCTCAGTGGCAGCGAAAGCTGGAATCGCCGTTGAGAGTGCTGATTTCAGTTTTGAACCAGCACCCAGATTACACTGGACAAACGCTGGTCATATTGTGGAAGACGTTGACATTGATGCAGCCAAGCACTGATCGTGGTTTCAACGGTGATGTGCAAGCTTGGGGCCGCCTTTTCTACTCGGAAGTGAATGGGGAGTTCAAAGGCAGGCTCGAGATCACACCGCCCATGAAAACAGCTATGGGTGCTCCGCCAGCCAA